ACTGCGACTGCTACTACTACTACTACGACCGTTGTGCTGTTATTACAGCGGCTGCTGAAAAAGCTTCTAGTGGGATCTTGCGACTACCATCACGAACACTGTCACTCGAGCGAGTGGAAGGCCTTCTGCCCACGGAGTTGTAGACCCTTCTTCTCAAAAGTGTCGTTTTCTCTATGTGACGTACTCGAACCCAGAATGCAGATTTCTCAGCGGCACAAATGATGATTTGGTGATGATGGCGGACGGAACCTAATTGCTGCAACCAGATCCACTGAAGCCAGAAAAGGGCACTGCTCGGTGGCTCACAGAATGGATCGCACCGGACGCCTCGGCTGTGAAAGGAGCCTTCATTGGTGTGATCTTGCTTCCGATTGTGGGGAATGCCGCCGAACATGCAACCGCCGTTACCGTGGCCTTCAAGGGCAAGATGGACCTAGCATTGGGGGTCGCGGTCGGATCATCGACGCAGATAGCTTTGCTTGTGGTGCCATTCTCGGTCATTGTTGGCTGGGTGCCTGGCTCAGTAGTTCTGCCTCGGCGGTGCCTGCCTAACCGACGTACTGCTGCTAAGGCCGTCGGGTTCCAACTTGAGTTTCGGATTAGTAAAATGATTCAGTCATACTAGGGCCAGCACGTGTCTATCGTTGAGTAATTGCATCGGTGTTCCTTTGGTCCAGGTCATGTGTGTTGCTCAAGGTGGTCAGCCCGATTCACTTGCCATGACTAGTGCCATGTGTGATTAGATATCTCGCTCTTCGAAGCTTCAGCTCGGAAGACTGCATGGGGTAGGCAGCGGCAAGAGATGGATGATTCTAAGGCATTTGATGTGCCGATGTCTCTAGACTTCCGGATCTTCGACACCACGGTGATGATTCTCTCCGTGTTCATCACGCACACCGCACTTCAAGATGGCTGCTCAAACTGGCTGGAGGGATCGATTCTGATCGCCATCTACGTCCTGATCGCCATCATCTGCTGGTACATACCTGATGCAGACGGGTCTCAATGAGTGGTGCGACTTGCTAGTTCAAGTTCACGCCGTTCGGTCTCACAGTGAAGTTCCCCGGCTGGCTGCGCCAAACTGCAGCGACCCTACATTCGTGGCCTGTCCACACTGTATCCGACTAATTGGTCTGTGAATTAAGCTCTTGCTTTCCGTGGAAGGTAGATGGATACCGGCATTTTTTGTCCACTCCCACGTCAGCGTCCTCAATATCATGCTTCCTTTCCACAGGGCTGGCATCCATTCAGGAATTTCTGCCAAGTACGCACGGATGTTTCACTCGACACGAACGCATGCTTCGCGCTTGCTGTGACAATGCCGAGAAAGGTAAAAATCGCGGATCGTTGCGCGAGGATTCTGCAGGTGCTTCATGTTTTCCAAATCGCTATGATACCTTCCGCGGTACAGTAACTACTGGCTGTGGCCCTTACACTGAAACTGTAGTGAACGCCTCGGCGGCAGCCTTGTGTGCTCATCCAACAGCTGCCCAGCACGCATGCGCAACAATTGAGAACATCTTTGCACCTTGGTACGTACTTCTTGCGGCTTGTCGGGGCAAGTCGGCACGCGTTTGTATCGGAACTTTACCAGTCACTCAACGGTTCGATTGCTGAGTCGGTAGTTTGCTTCCTCTCGTGCCTAGTCCGCGAAAAAGCCGAAGCCTTGCATTCAGCCTTCGCCGAGCTCCAGACGCATGTGCAGGTCCCAGCCTCGATGCCAGCGACGCGCTGGCCAAGCTGCGGGCAGCCGCGCAGGCTGACACTTGTTGTCGCAGGCTAACATACGGACGAAAGCTGAATGAAAGAAAGAGCCACGCCGGCAACAGCCATACCGAGTCGCGAAAATCCTACGCCGGACAAGTGCACTAGCCTGCCCAGAAAAGGACGACAACGACGGTTACTGCTGATCCTCCTCCTCCTCCTCCTACAACAACAGCCACTAACTGACAACTGCCGCTGCTGCTGCTGCTGCTGCTGCTGCTGCTACTATTACTACTACGACGACGACTACGACGACGACGACTACTACTACTACTGCTACTGTT